GAGGTTAGATTATTTTAGAGAAATTTTAAAAAATACCTTGTCTCTTTAAAAAATACCACTTTTCAATTGTCACTTTTCAAAAATGCCACTTTTTCAAAATCTTTGCAAAAATATAATTTTTCAAAAAATACATAATTTTCTACCTTACAGACTCTATAATTTTTGAATATAATTATATAATTTTTAAATATATAATTTTGAAACTCTATATACCTTACATTTTCAATTACGTTTTAGAGATTAATAATTTTTTTGTAATTTTAGAACCTTTTGGATTTTAAAAATTTAATCTATAAAATTAAATGTGAAACTATAATTTTAATTTCTATCTAAAATTTAATAATTATTTGTTTTTCCTTAAATTTTTGAAATTTTATGGATTTTTTTTTTGGGAAAATATCTAAAACTAACCTACAATTTGATTTTAAATGCAAAAGTAGACCCCTTATCTCATGTTTGGCAAAAGTAACCCAAGGGGTAGTGAAATTACAATTACACCCGTTATGACCAAAGAAAAAAACGGATGCCATAATTACTGTTCTACCCCTCCGAGAAGTCTACTCTGTACTAAAGAAGTCTACTTTAGATATTTTGTAGACTTCTAGTTACTAATTATATATGAAATTTAAATTTATAAATTAACAAAAATTAGTTTGATTAAACATTTGTATTCATGACCAAAGTATAAATAGTTGTGAAGTATAAAAATTAAAATTTCACAAATTAAAGAAACAAAGATGGGTTAAATATCATACTAGTAGACTTCAATAGAAGTCTACTTACTAATTACATATAAAATTTAAATTTATAAATTAATAAAAATTAGTTTGATTAAAATTTTGTATTCATGACCATACTATAATAAATTGTGAAGTATAAAAAATAAAAGTTTACAAAATTTCACAAATTATAGAAACAAAGATAACTTAGGTTACATATTCATAATGAAATGAAGACTAAACATATGTTTTGATATTGATGTAGTGACATGTTGGTAGTTATTTTTGTTTGACA